TCTTATGCAGCTTAGTATGCAGCTACAAAGGCAATGTAAAAATTATTAACACAGTTCTGAAAGTCTACAAGCGTACAGGACTTAAAAATACAGCAGCTTTATATAATGAGCTCCTGGTTTCCAAAGTAATCTTGAATTACCTTTTTGAATCTAAAAACAACTACTTACAATGCAAGAGCCGCCCAGACAGGAGAGTGAGTGGTTAGTGACTCTGACTGCCGTACCGAAGGATCCATGTTCGAATTCCGAATAAGGCATGGATGTAAATTGTTTGTCCCTTTACCATTTATAGAAGGTAACTGTGGCCGCCTGTTAGATGACTCCATAATAAAATGACCATGCCTCTAGCTTTAGTAGTGGCAAAAGCCTAAATGGCTAGTGCCCGCCATAAAAGAAAAAAAACTTCAGTGCACAATGCAATCTCATTTTAAGAAGAGATGCTGAGGTAGTTATAGTACAAGTTAACTGTCTCCATCAATTTTTTCTCATTGTACTTTCGTATCATCTTACCCTGTACTTGTTACTCGGATGCGCTGAGATAGATTTAAATATTAAAATGTAAATGAACTCTCGTACAGAATTCTCAAAGCAGAAAGTAACAGAACGAAGTAAATTTATATTCCTTGAGCTGTTTAAATCTATGAGATAAATAAAGATTGTTCCTTTATCATTTTGTCATTAAATACGGCTTTTTAAATGGGATCTTTAAAAAATTCTTTATTAACTTTCTTTGAAAGTCATGTAAATAGCATTGCTATTACACGCTATGTTGTTATTTTTTACTTTTTTAATATCTGAGACGAGAAAAGAATTATATTTAGAAAATGAATTATGCATAACATCATGCGGTTAGTAACTAAAATAGTATAAAGATCTATTATGCCGGATTAATTTTTTACGAAATAACATGTTTCGTCTTCTTAAAAGAGAAAAATAAGGGCTACGTCTGTAAAATCCTTATTAAAACAAATAGCCTTGAGTTCGAGTTAAATCTGTCACTTCTTAAGATACGAAGATTAAAAAAAATCGATTTTTCCTTCTTTATCATCGCTGATGAGGAGAAAGCTGAAAATAATCTTCTATTCATAAAAAAGGAATTGCTCTACTCAATTAAAAACACAAAAGTTTCAGTTTATAATTTATTTCAGTTATTTAATTATCTAATTATTTACTCGATTCACAGAATGAAAATACAACACGCTCATTGGACTCATCTCAAATTTTAATATCTTCTGAACAATAGCCATCATTTTTAAACTTCTTGCTATTTATCGTAGTTCATCAATTATTTAAGTTTCACGCCTTTGACACGAAAATAACCTTCTTATCTATTTCAGACTACCGTAACTGTGCGAATATATATCGTATTACTAAAGAATTAATCCATGCATAGAAATATACTAGTTAAATATTCCTGTCTGATTAATTTTTCCCCTGAAGATCAATTCTGTTTTCTAAAGAGCATATCTTATTATCGCATTTCAAAGTTTTATCTGTGACATTTACACTGGTGGCGAAAGCGATCCAAATAATGCCATGTACGTTGAAAATGGTCTACATACGATGTGGTGAAATTGATCTGCGTGTGCCTTTATGCTGGCTGAGAATGATCCATTTAATGCTATCTAATTTTATCCGATCTACTATCCGTTTAATGCTATTTGTGTACACTATTTACTGTAGCAAAAAAAATGGTTTAAACAGTATAGAAATTGTAATATTAATATGTTTTTAAAATGCACGAAGTTTCATGAAACATATTCTGTTTTACGTCAGAAACTCCATTTTTAACATGGATGTCAATGTTATTTCATACGGAAAAGAGACAATTTTTTAAAGAATTAAAACTATGCATTAAATCTTTGAACACCTAACATCCGTTAATAGATTTTGAAACCTTCTACGTCGCTCTAAATTTTAGGAAACTGAGGCACAGTATAATTAAGAGGTTACTGTTATAAGATACAAGAGCTTCTGTTACAAGAAATATTTTTTTCGCTTTGTGTGAGGAAATAAAATTTATTTTATCATCAAATATTAACTGTTTGATAATGAACATAGGATTCTGTTTATGATACGGTTTCAAAAGTTTCTGCATAAAATAAGTCTTTAAAAAAAATTGAGCTTTCTGTAAACTCCGTAAAAATGCAATATTATTTTTATAACTAACTCCTCAGTATTTTGAATCAATTAAAGTAATAAACACTTAAATGCTTAATAATTTAAGCCTTGGTAAAATAAAATACACATTTATGCATTAAGTTTTTATTGAAGTCTTCCTAACTTTTGAACGAAAACTAAAAATCTGAAATAATGACTGTTTTAAAATGTATTTTAATTCTTCCTTATTTGTCCTTCTTTTTTTTCGGAATATTCTTTTCAATGAAGAAATAGATCCTTGAATAATCTTTCCCAATAATATATTTTTGAATTTAACAATGAAAGCTAGATGACGACATTTCGCTGATCCAGGAGCGAAATGACTTCCGGAAATTTAGTTGTCCTCCCTTTGCAACTAAGTTTTTAATACTCTTTTACCGTCTTCATTACAGAACTCCAAATGCTCTTCCTTCGATAAAATTCCAAAGCAATTAGTTTTAATGATCCATGCCTGTTCATTATGTTTACTACTACCCTCCATCTATGTCAATATCACCATCGAGTCAAACCCTTATTTGTTAGGTAATCACTGTTGCAACTAGACATATTTTAACTCCACTTGCTTAACTGTAGAGTAAATGATAAACTTCCAAACGTTCGTTCTTCGCTAATACTAGCCTGGAGTATAACTAAACAGGCCTCGAATTGTTAACAGAAAATGAAACCTGTTACAGATATGTCGAACAGATGAGAAATGAGCGTGCCACGCAAATGGGATCTCTGGTTTACTCTCCCATTAATACTCCCCCCCCCAAGTTTGACCCACAGTTTTCTCTTTAAAATAGTTTCTCATACTATTACTCATTAAGTTTTGAACTTGGTCTTTACTAGAGGTTAGTAGAAACCTCAATTAGCATAAGGTCAAATAACCGCTCCCCTTCGTGGATGCATTAATTAAAATAACGTATGCTTTATAATATCACTTATTATATCATAAATCATAGCTCAGAATAAGGATTTAATAATTGGTAAAATTCATTTGTTTGGAGTTAATTTCAATAAATGGGGTTCCCCTTATTAAAATTAGCGCCAAGTAAAGGATGAATGGCACGGAGTATTAAAACTGAGGCATATCTTAAAATGAGATGTAATTCAATCTTAAATGAGATACACCTGCATATCTTACAAGGAGAACTTTAATTACAAAACATAATATTTATAATATAAACAGAGTATTAAATTAAAAATTACATTATAATTACTATTCTATTTAGAACTTGTGCCGTTTTAATGGTAATTACACCACCATTAAGACGGCAAAATAAAAGTGTTTAATGGGATACGTTTTCATGGATATCTGGGCATACAGATCCATTTATGTAAGACATTTTAATATAAGAGAAATAAGAAAGGAGAAAAGTGGAAAAGAATTTTCCCATTTAGTGATATAGGTATAACCTTGTCGCAGCCCTGCAGTGTGTAAAGCTATCGTAATGGTAGAGCAGAGGTAAGGATGTAGAACGGACATCTTTTCACGGTTATCTAGGCATTGATGGATAATTCTCTTTGTATAATATATTTTAGTAAAAGCAAAACAGAACAGTAGAGGAGTAATGAACAAGACGCAAGGACTTTTGCCATTAGCGATACAAATATATTCTTGCCGCACTACTGTACTACATGAAGATATTGTGATGGTAGGATATATAGGACATCTGGATTGTACTGTTAGAAATTAGAACTACGTCCTACTACGTTGATACATTATAGACAGGAGATATGTGTATTTCATGGTGCATTAAAAGAATAGAATAGTTTTAAAAAGTTCTTGAGAAGCTTTTCATTGAATTTCATTAAATTTTCATTGAATTGAATTTTTCATTGCCATGCAAATGCAAGGTTTCATTACAAATAAGTCATAAATAGGAAAAACATTACTCGTGTAGAATCTGATGCAATGTGATACGTTTAATCGTCAAAAGCGCAGCTTGCTTTGTAGCTTATTGTTCTTTGTTTCTGTGTTTTATGTTATGTGTTATATGTTTTATGTCTTTTTATGTAACTGCTGCGCTAATCGTTTATGTATTTTGTGTATCTTAGATGCAAATTCAACTTAGGCTTTGCATGCTTAGTCAAGCAACTGTTTCGAGAAAAGCTTTTCAAATAATATATAAATTCAATTATTTCAAATTTGCTAGAGTTTTAAGCTAATATTTTACGTTTAGTATTAGCTGAATAAGAATTTGAACTCTTTTTACATGCTTTTAGCACATATTACCAAACCCGCATATATTCGTTTTATGTTTTTGTTTGCTACAACTGAGCGTGCATCTGTATAGTGTTTTAGAGCTCGGAAGCTGAGGCCAGACCCTTGTCAACAAATCATATTGCTTTTCTTCTTTTATGTTCTTTTTTAAGCACTGCATTTAATAATTTTATAATTCAATCTAAACCTGATTAACATATAATTAAATTAAATTATGTTTTCTTTTTATTAACGTGTATTTTAGTTTAATTAATATCTGCATAATAATTGAATTGACAAAAATTTTCATTTACATGCTTTTTAAACTATAATTCAGAAATTTTAATTAGAATTTAAAATTAGTAGAAAAGTTATTTAATTACATTTCATTTTCTGATAGCAATTTTAATAACAAGTAAATCATATTTAACAAATAAAGTTTTTTAATATATACTGTATAGTCCAATCATATTTCAGTATTAATTAATAAAATACTTTGCAATTTTGCTTAACCCTTATTCCTTTTCATTTTCTCTTTTAATTGTTTTTATGATAATTGCGACACACATAAATTTAATTTGACAAAAATCAAAGCACATTTTCATGAGATGATATAAGACTGTTTCATGCTAATCTCTTTTCCTGATATTTGTAGCCGAGTTTCAGTTATCCGAGGAAGAGTGGTCAGTAGAGAAGGCAACGGACTTATCGGTATTAGAGTCAGTGTTGCCACTGACCCTCAGTTCGGATTCACCCTCACAAGAAGCGATGGTTGGTAAGTAATTATTTGGTAATTTGGAAATTATGCAGCAACTTTTTTCATATCTTTAACAGTTGGAGTGATCAGTGCTCACCCTGTATCTTTTTTATATCAATGAAGGTAAAACGTTTTAGTTTCTTTAAATGTTTTCAGAGTTGAATTGTTATCTACAGATGATCAGAGCATAATACCCAAGTTATCATAAATTCTTTTACGCTTAAAAATCATTAGAAGGCTCATAGAATACCGTGCTGGTACGATACTAATAAGGCAATACAAGATGGCCGCTATATAAGCACTGCTGGCAATACAAGATGGCCTGCCTTATAAGACAAGTTGCAGCTGTGAAAGTGGTTTACAACAAAGGAAAAGGTGTTTGCATGAAGACAGCTTAACTCTGCCGTAGCTCTATAAGCTTCTCTTCTAATACCATGTTGGTCAGTGAATCCACCTAATCGAATAGGCAACTTATCACTTTTGCGTGAAATAAGTCTTTTGATAGTAAAGCCAGAAATTAACACAGAGTTTATTACACAACATCCTGTGGTACAGGAAATAAGCTATAATGTAAGACATTTTTAAGGATCTACTTTTGGCAATATTAAATTTGCAGTTATGCTAGCTCGCTTTCAATGATTAACAAAACCACTTCTAAAAGGTCTAAAAGGATATTTGGTCTAAACTTCACAAGCAATTATTCTGTAATTTCACTCAGCGTTTGAATGGAAGCTCAATTTCTGTGACCAGAAAATACTTCTCAACGATAAAATCTAACTTGGTAACAAAGCGCAATGATCAAGATTGCGAGCATCTTCTGTTTCTGCAGCAGCAGGGTTGCAGTTAAGAATCAACCGTATTTAATTTACTTTTGAGTAACTACAATTTTCATAACATTCTGGTCCGATAAAATGTTTGTAAAGCCAAGAGATGATAGGGCAGCGTACAAATTATTCTTAATTGCTCGCAAAACTTAAAAATATCATATGTGTTAAAATATAAACTTGATAAACTTCTGTTGCAGAAGAAAGCTTTCTGGAAAAATTTTCCAACATATGAAACTCACATAGAGCCTGAGCTAATTATGTCGTGTAGTTGCTTTAAGTTACGTTTTCATTAATATAAAACGATTTTAAGGTTAAGGTGACGTGAATAAAGAGTACGTCAATATATTTTTTTAAATAGTAAATTGCATAAGTAAGATTGGTATGGTTTCCTAAACGGTAATTTAAAGCGAGAAAACAGGTTTTTAAATGTAATTCAATATCATAAAAATATGTCTTCCTTACTATTTTGAAGTATAAACAGTTCTGATATGCTTACTAAATTGACTTTTCTCGTTTTAGCTCATTATCACCTTGCTGATAGCTAATGATGGATTTATATTCTTTTATATTCATGGGAATCTATCATTATACATAACTTTATTACATTAATCTAAATTATAGAACATGGAATGAGAAATTAAAAGTGGATCCAGGTAAACATTTTGTGAAAACATTTTAACGAAAGAAATAGTATTTTGTGTGCAGAAACCATCATTAAACGTAATTATTTTTTATCAAATAACTTATTACATTTCGTAAGTTATGAATATCAATCAACTAAAGGATTGACGATAACTACGAAAACGAACAACTAGCGTTTTAATGTTTTCCTTAGAAATATTAGCTGTGTTTACGGAAAGAAAACTCTAAAATCCAGAAAACAAGTTAATTCATTCTTTTTTTCTAGTAATTTTCATAACGAAATATGAGAATGATTCTGTTTTGATAGCTATATAATAACTAGTATTTACATGTTTTAATACTTATGTCACCTGTATATTGACGTTAAGAAGATCTTTATTGATTCTTCAATAGGTGTGGCATTTCATAATTTTATCAAGGCTGTTGCTTGTTTCCGTTTCTTAAGGTTGTACTTGAGCTGATACTTGTGACCTGCAACTCTACTAAACAACTACCCAGTTATTGCTATGCCTAAAAATTTTGAAAAACATTACTTTACCGGCGCGTAAGTTTAAAGCAATCAATTGCGAGAGAATGTAAAAGCCGGGATATTGTCTTTCAGATAGAGCTGGAAAATATCTAAAAGAGCTGCGCGAGTGCCAAAACTCTAGTCTTAAATACAAGCTTATAAGTGGTGCCGTCTCTACATCTCCAGTTACCCTTTAAAAGGGTCAGTACGTAAGGTATTTTGGCCCTCCTTTCCACGGGCTTAACCTGCTCGGCTAGCAAGCGGAGGTCCAGTGTTCGAATCTCGGAGAGAGCATTGCGCATTTTTCGCGTCTCCTGTATCGATAAACTTAATGACTATACAAGATATTTAATTTTTCTTTCAAATTACAACAAAATACTTTCAATATAAAAAATGCTTATGAACGAGACATTTAGACACAGTACAAGCTTTTTAATAACAGTTTCGTGCATTTTGTTGAAAAGTTTAACATAAAAATATTTTCTGTTTTAACAGTGACAGTGATTTTTTAAAAATATTTACCCTAATTAATAGATAAAATATATTTAATAATTAATAATATCTACTTAGTTAACAGAAGTTGTAATGCTTTTTAATTAAGCGTTTAAAAAAACGTTTATGCCTCTTTCAGGATTTTTATTAAAAACTACCGTGCCACTTTTAGCATTTTTATTTTTACAAAGCAGTGTCACATTCAATATTTTCATAACTTTGCAGCTAAGATATTTTAAGGTACTAAATCAATAATAAAAATTAATAAGGCGTAGGCTTTATATAAGGCTAAAATAATAATCCTGCTACTGTGAACTCTTTTGAAGTTCAATAAAACTGACATCAAGAATAAAATATAGTTAAGCGATGTTTCGAATAAAAAATCAGTAAATCATAAATTTATCATAAAGCACATAGAAAATTAATACGGAGCAGTATTTTACAATTTAATTCAATTAACCTTTATTAAATACAGGGTGATTATAATTAAAGTTTAAGTTTCAAAACGCTATAAAAAAAAGAACCACTGATGAAAATGATGTGAAATTTGAAAGGAATGTTATTGAAGAAGGCGGAAAGCGTATGGCAGAAGAAAGAATTTAGTTTCAAAAGTTAGCAACAGATGGCGCTGTAAAGCGGGAGAATCACGACGAGAAACGAGAAATGATTCGTAAAACAACGGCTAAGGTGGAAGTTACACATTAAAACGCATTGACAAATTAGAATTGTTGAATAATTTTATTTGCATGACTGTATATATCACATCGAAAGGGACAAATCGGTTTCAAGAGTTTTGCGGCGACATACCGCATAAGAACCATTCATCAAAGAAGTTCGGAACTGTCGCGAGACTGGCGCAAAACATGTTCAATATGGTGTCCACCGTTTGTGTGCAACAAGTTGAAAGCGACCAAAACAGCATGTTCCACAAACGGATCGCAGTGTCTCAGGGGTGATGTTCAGAATGTGTTGCGAAATGCGTGCCTATAATTACGCTAAATTTGCAATTGGAGCACGGAACACAACATCCTTCAGATATCCCCTCAGCCAGAAATCACACGGAGTAAGATCAGGCGATCGGGACGGCCAGGCTGTAGGGAAATGACGGCTGATAATTCGAGCATTTCCGAAATGGCGCCTCAGCAGCTGCTTCACGGGATGTGCAATGTGCGGAGGAGCGCCATCTTGCATAAAAATGATTTCATCCACACATCCACGCTGTTGCAGAGCTGGAATCACGTGGTTGCGCAAAATAGACGCATACCTCTGACCAGTGACGGTTGAGATAACAGGACCGGAAGCACCCGTCTGCTCGAAAAAATATGGTTGTAGGATGAATGATGCCGTAAAGCCACACCATATACCGTGACCTTTTCAGGATGAAGTGGTACGGGGTGCGTTGCCAGTGGATTTTCTGTTGCCCATATTCGACAATTCTGGGTATTCACGTATCCTGTCAGATGGAAATGGGCTTCATCTGTCCACAAAATTTTCCACGGCCATTCATTATCCACTTCCATGCGAGCCAGGAATTCTAACGCAAACGTCTCCCTAGCTGTCAAGTCAGACGGAAGCAACTCCTGGACATGGCCAATTTTGTACGGATAGCATTGCAGGATGTCCCTGTTTCGTACAATTGTTCAGCAGTGTGCTCGTAGGCCTGTCTAGTGTTCCGGCAATTCCTCGTGCATTGCACTGTTGCACACCACCGGCCGACCCCTCCTGTAATGCTGTGACCATTTCTTCAACTACCGTCGAATGCACTCGTTTTCTCCCTCTACCAGATTACACATCAAACGAACCTGTCGTTTTCGAATTTTTGCATTCATTTTCTTTAGATCCTACGACACTCATTGGACCAACGCCTTCTTTTTCTATACCCTTTCAGTGTCCTGAATTTTTGCAGAAGCTACTCTTGCACATCATCATTCTTGTAATACAGCTTTACCAGCAGACGCGATCCTCAGTGAAACACCCATGGCGAACGTCTGAGACGCGAAATGAGGAACAGCCTGGTACTGCTGGCGGCTTTATAATAACACTGAAATTTAACTAACATTTTAATTTACGTCATCTTCCGCTTGCAGCGCCATCTGTTGCTAACTTTTGAAACTTAATTTTTTCTTCTGCCATACACTTTCCGCCTTCTTCAATAACATTCCTTTCAAATTTGACGTCATTTTCATGAGTGCTTCTTTTTTTATAGCGTTTTGAAACTTAAAAAACTTTAATTATGATCACCCTGTATATATATATATATATATATATATATATATATTATTTTTTTTTTTTTTTTGTAAATTTAGCTCTTTCTTGCTTAAAACATGCTTACAATTAAATACTAATTTATTCTATACGAACGTTTTAGTTAAGAAAATTATCCTAATTTTTTATTAAATGATTAAACTTAATTTTCGTAAGTAATGATTTCCTATCAAATTACCATTCACCTTTCTTTCCCTACTTTAGAATCAGCTGCAGCTCTCAATATAAGAGTATTCTATGTCCTCTTTTCAATAAAGCCTCCATAAGTTCTCTTATACACTTACATTTTTCTATACGGTTTGGATGCATTCATAACAGCACGCAGAACGACTTGAAGAAGCTCTTACAACTTCAGCTGCGAGAAACCTATAGCAAATTAAAGCATCTTTATCTATTTTAGTCATCACATTCCTGCCCCTTTCAACTTCAAGTTGAAGAAGAAATTAAGGCATACATTCAAGTGTGATCTCATTTGCTTAAAATGTATGCGTGAAGAGGAGTTATATAAATATAAAAATAGAGTTTAAAGAAGAGGGATTTATGTCTTGACTTGAAAAACGTAGATGTATTAGCCTTAAATTCATCCTTTTGAAAGGAAATTTCCGTACTGCTACAAAATACTATTTTATTTCGGTAACACGTTACAGATTTTACCCTTCTAGCAGATTTAACATCTTAATCGTATTAACTTCATAATAGTAAGAATGTCAGTGATTTCCCAGGTTTTGCTAATACTTTGCTACGTTCATTAACAATACCGCTCTACCATTTCAAGAATGTTTTATTGATAACCAATGACTTTTAAAGGTACATTTTTATGAATTTATGAATTATTCTCATAATATCAAAATTTAAGCTAAAGGCGTGATATAGTGTCAGCTATACACGAATTGACAAAAATATAAAAAGCTATCTTAAACTTTACGGAATTATTAAGAATTTTACTATCTTGCGATAACTTTTATCTTTCTACTAGACTTTCGGTCGACAGGTTTTAAATATCGATTTATTTAAAATACATTTCCTTCTTGCTCCATGCCAAACGGCTGACATTTTTGCCCTCCTTTAGGTTTGATATCCTAGTTAATGGTGGTGGTGCAGTGACACTGCAGTTTCAGCGGAATCCATTCCATCCTATCAAACGAACTGTCATGGTACCTTGGAATACTGTCATGGTGATGGGACCCGTTGTAATGTCTGCTACTGTTGAAACCGAAGTACAGGAAGATTTGTTGCAGCAGCAGGAACCTTGCTTGGAGCATGACTATGATCTGATGAAGCCAATCGTATACCAGACTTGGCGATCAGGATCTCAAGGGGCATGCACAGAAAACAGCGCTATTATGGCTGAAACTCAGGTGAGGGATTTTTCAAAAATTTTCTATATCTGTATAGTGAATCTATCTCAGACTGGAGTGAAATCTTTATAGCCTAGGGTATTAGATAGGCAATAAAATAAAATGCCTATCCGGAACATAAAATGATGAGACTCAAATAAAAAATAAATGTTAAAATAAAGGATCGATTTTATTTCTTAATAACGCTGTGATTAAAACAATGAAATACAAAATTCACTAAGCGTTGCAAATTTTGAAGTATGCTTTCTTTATAACACACTGAATCTGAATTATTTTAGATGCTTCTCTGATGGTGAAAAGGAGCAATTTACAATAATATATAAATTCAGATGAATCGTTGTTTGAAATACTTTTTCACTTAAAGCATGAAACTGTTCAATTTTGTTAAAAATTGTATGCAAAAATAATATGGCTTTGTCTTAAATAAAAAATACCCAAGAAATTTAATGTTTTTTTTCATATTTTTATACATTAACTAATAATTAAGCCACTCTGAAAGGCATACTTAACAAATTAAATTTTAAAACTGTAACTTTTGGATTTAAAGTCATAAAATGTCCATGTTAGAAAAAACAATTGGTTGACACTAGATCTCATATCGCTTCATACTGGAAGAGACTTTGTAATTTGTTAAGCAAAGTCATTTCAGTGCTTCACTATTTAAGTCATTTTCTAGGCCCCTTAAATATTTTGTAGTTATAATATAATTTATTTAGGAGGAAATTGTTTAACTTAACAAACGTAAAAATAAAAAAGCCTATTTCTTACTTTCAAATCTCGTTATATTTTGCTACCTGTCACGTCTTAGACTTACCCTTTGGTTTCATTATTGTACTCAAGGTACATAGCTTAACTATATCTTTTAAATTATCACTAGTCGCTTTCGTTAGCATCCTTTTTTTTAGTAATGGAAATTGTCTTCATGAGACCCTAAATAGGTCTAGTAATTTAGATTAATTAGATAATAATGTAATGCTCTGGAGAGATCTCAGTGAAATTAGGTTAGGAAGACCCTCTTCCACAGCTTAAGAAACAAAGCTCGAAACTCCTTTCCTTCTCTTCTGAATTATTTATTTAAGTGGTTGGTAGTAACCTCCGCAAAAGTGATGAACAGAAAATATCTCCAGAAACTCCTTTCCTGCCTAATAATTTCGGCAGCTATCTCCACTAAGCTAATTCCTTGTTATTCCTGACTACAGTCATTTATTTCTTGGCAATCAGACTCCTTGCTACTAAACCACTTTTGTTTCACGTAAGAGAATAAAAATATTGCACCGTTTGGTTTTTATTTTATATTGTTATGCTATTACTTAAATCACGATTATGTATCATACATTCAGTAATAAGCTGTTGTACTTTCAGTAAGATCATAATTTCCCTCTGCGTGGTTAAAATTGTAAAAGTCTTGCTAAAACCAAATAATATGTAGAGAGGTATTTAGTTTTGAAACTGTTTAGTTTAGAAAAAGTCTCATACGTCCTCTTAGAACACGAAATCCATTGAATCCATTTCTTTTCCTATGGGCAATAAGTTTTGCAAGATTCATATCATATATTATATATATATAACTAGTAGTGAATAAAGGAAAAAAAATCTTCTTTGCTGTACAGCTAAGCACATTTTCCGGCCAGACGTTCATTATTTCAATTCTTTGTTGGTATTAAGAACTAAAAAGAGAGAAGCAACAGGAACCTAACAAAAAAAGAGAACTTTTAACTTTAAAAATCACTCTTTACTCTTCCTATTACGCACTCGACTTGAGACACGTCCGTTTTCAATTAGAAAAGGCGATACTGGGCTTAACACGAATGTAAAGAAATTAAGAAGTAAGAGAGCTTCGACAGCCTGACTTCGCGTAACACTTACGTGTGGGAAAAGAACTGTGGATTCATTGTAAAGTGTAAAAAAGAATAATAGTACTTTCTCGAGCCGTTAACTGAATTATCGACGACTGCTGTTTTCCGATAGCTTTGAATTCTTGTAATATAATTAGTTCTGAAGAAATGATAATAATAACACAAATCTGACGTGGCCAGCCAGTCGATCTCGAAGCAATTTTTGGTCTGTTTATTAAATTCGGTTTTAAAATTATCCTGTGGAGGAGGTTTTTATCTTTTTGATGGCATGCTAGCAAGAGTCTGACAGCCTTAGAACCTTCTTCTTTTTTAACTTAATATAACTTTTCTGTTAGTTAATAATTATTTTTAACGAAGTAAATTCTTCTCATACTCATTAAGTGCTTACTGAGAATATAGGCATGATTTTTCTGTTGATCAATACACGCATTAATAATCTTTTACTTATTTATTATTATTTTACTGGTATTGAATATATGAGTTTTTAATATGTACGTTTAGGCTAATTGTGCTGCACGCCTAATGTCAATATTTTTTAAAACATCTGAGCTAAAAGAATTTTTTATGATTTATTATCTCTTAATTCGTGTTTACAAAACATCAGCTTTGGAAGGAAATGTATACTAAACAGCGCAGCTCAGTTTTATTGGCAATATAATTTAATCTTACTGTATAATTCATGTCTACCCCTTCACCATCGATTAGCCTTGGTGACTTGAATACGTTATTATGACGCGAATCTGGCAGATAGTTCTCTGCTAATTATCTTTCTTTTAAGAAGTCGATCCCAACCAAAAAAAATGGCCATTTCTTAAATAAATGTTAGGCTAAGGCAGTCAATTTTGCATAAATTTTAAAAAATTGTTTCCCAAGACATCTCGTTCAAATGCACTACCCCAATCCAAAGTAGTCGCAGTTTTCGAAACAGATCAGTCTTTATAGAAAATAATACAAGCCAGAAGAAACACGCTGCAAATTATTTGGCGAACATGTTCGAGTATAGCCTTCTGATTTATCTAATTCTCAAACCCACTATGGCAAATTTAATTAGTGATTGTACTTATAAACACAAAACTGCGGTTTGTGCTCATAAGTAGAATCACTAACTTGCGGTGTTGATTTAAAGACATATTTTTCTTCTCAGTGATTTCTTCTTAGTGATTAATTTCTATAACTGTGTGTTCAAAGATTTCGTATTCATAGCTTTTTCTAAAAACCTTAAAATGCATTCAAGAACTTTATATGCAGTTCTATTAATATGCTTAAGATACGAAAACCTAATTAACTCATTTCATCTTTTCAAGAAATGTAAGTATTTTCATCATGATCTTTCGGCCATAATCAAATTCTGTTAGATCCCTGGGACGAGAAGAGAAAGAAATTTGGAAATAAGAATCCTGCAAATGTACTTAAAAAATCATTGCACACTAAATACTGCATAAATAGAATCACATCCGCATGAATCACAGATCCATAGTTCAAGTTCGAGAAATGAATCAAATAAGATAACTTCAGACTATGAGTTACTGTCACGTCATACCTCTCAATAAAAAAATATAAAATTTTAATTTTTACAGAAGTTTCATATGAAAAATTTTAGGCAAAAATGTTTCTTCTAGTTGAATGAGTCAAAGAATAAAATTTCCATCCTCAAATGGTCAAAATTAAACGAAATAGCACTAATTAAAATTTTGGGAAATTGTATATACATTGCGAATTTTTATAAGATACTTCTTGCATTCGAAAGGTGTAAAAACATATGTCACTCACTTATGTTACTATAGATACTGTTTAGTTCTGAAAAGCTGAGAAACGTGACAAAGCAACCATTCTGAAAAGATATTGATTTTTCACATATGTTAATAAAAAGACGTCCCTGACAATCTTAAATTATTCATTTTTTAAATAGGAATCATAAAATTTAAGATCACCAGTTTAAAGGTATTAAATTTCGCATATTTTTGCTAACAAAATGTTTCGAATACCTTATTTGATCCATTTATTAAATTTGAAACATAGGTCTACGATCAACTACTCAAGAGATATTATTTAATAGGGCAATTTGTTGAAACATTCTGCAGAGGTCATAGCCCAATGGTAGTAGCCCCAAATCCAAAAGGTAATAACCCAAATATCGTCGCAAAAAGTAAGTATCCGAAACGTTGCAAATAAAAGGGAACGCGACCGTAAGAGCTTTCTTCTAAAACAATACGTGGACTAGCTTACTGAACTTTCCTTGTTTTAAATCTTGGATAGTTAAAATATTCTAGAATAGCGTTTCCCGAACTTTTTGTGGTTGTGGAACGTTTAGAATATGATTCGGTCTTCAGAAACTCTTTTCATACTTTTACTGAAACATAACCTTTACTGAAAAGGTAACTTAATGGTTAATTGATAATATTCAAAACTTAACCATTGCAATTCTGAAAAGGTACAAAATAAATCAACACAAGTTGCAGCAATTAGCAAAGTGAGAGGAATTAGTAAATTTTAATAAATCAAAGTAAGTATGCAAAAAGCATGAATATGAACTTAAATAAAAATGATTCAAAAACACATGTACGTGTAAATAGTGTTATTCTCGTATTTCTGTTTGAGTGTTAGAGTTATAAGGAATGTTAAAATTATGGGAATGTTAGGGTTATAGAAATGCTGCGTTAGAGTGTTGAAGTAGCTACCAAAATATTCTAACTTGAACGTTTCAGTTTGATAAGAGGTTAATTTACGAAGTAATTTTATTCCTTAACAAATTTTAAACATTCCTAACAAGTTTGATGTATTGCAATAGTTTTGACAAAATTAAATTATTTACATTTTTGCTCGGAAGCAATATTTTGTACTTTTTGCTTATTTCGAAAAGTATATTTATTTTTTACTTTTATCCTGTTAAATGATTAATTAAATTTAACTTTTAGACCCACAAACAAAATTTTAAAAATAATATCCTTTATCCTGACATTTCCAGCATACTATAGCTAGAATTTCTGTTAGCATATTTCCAAATAAAAGAAATAGATTACAATTAAGTATTTTTAAATATTATATCTAATGCAGAAAAAGAAATGTTTAAATCGCGGGTTCCACAAGGGGCGGTGTTCCCAACGGAATTTTAGTTACCCCTTCCCCCCCTGAGGCTCGGTGAAG